TGCTCTCTTTCACGTCCGCGTTCCCAACCCAGCACTGTTGGGTTATAGATCAAGACCGATTTTCAACCCAAATTGGGTTAAATCAACCCAACTTTGTTACCCAGCAGTCTCAACCCAGCATTTGGGTTGAAAAAACAACCCAGCGTTTTTACATAGCATTGTTATTATATAGCACATAGCAGCTGTAGGAATACATACAACAGACTATGCTTATTTAGAGAACAAATGCATATTTACTGTCATTTAATAAGTCCTTTAATATCTGAGGTGGCACAGTGGTGCAGTGGGTAGCACTGTTGCTTCACATCTCTGGGACCAGCATTCATGATGCCGCTATGACTCCATGTGTGTGGAGTTTGCACGTTCTCCCTGTGTCATTGTGGGGTTTCTTCCATCCACAATCTAAAAGCATGTGTGAGTGCTTCTTGCGATGGGTTGGCGCCCCATCCTGGGTTGTTCCCTGCCTTGTGCCCATAGGCTATGCACCCCCACCCACCATAAATAGGACAAATTATTACAGAAAATGGTTGGGTGGACATTATTATCTGTACAGAAATCTACATTAACTGTCCTGAATCATGACATATTAAGGCCTTAATGGCAGGGGATGGGGCACAGCCTTCTGTCACATAAACACAGTATTGAACACCAAGCTGATGGACTTCGAGACCTTCCTGCCCATGTTCCAGTACGAGTCCCAGTCCATGGACAGGGGCACCTTTGAGGACTTTGTGGAAGGGCTTTGTGTGTTCGACAAGGAGGGAAATGACACAGTAATGGGGGCAGAGCTTCGCCACACGCTGGCCATACTGGGTGAGTCCATCTCACTGCATACCCTCTAACTGCTGTACAACATAAGAATAAAGATACTTTGGTAACACTTTATTTACAGCACTCATGTATAATGCATTATAAAGCATTCATAAAGTGTTATAAACACGGCTATAACTATTTATAAAAAGGCATAACACATTATAGTCATGTTTATTATGCATTATGTAATGATCAGTATAAGCCATTATAATGCATTACGAAGGTATTTATAGAGCATTCCTAAAGGATAATAAATATGACTATAATGTGGTATGCCTTTTTATAAATAGTTATAACTGTGTGTATAATACTTTATGAATACATTATAATGCATTATGAAGATATATATAATGTTACATGGGTACTTTAAGTAAAGTGTTACCAAGCTTTTTCTCTAGACTTAATGCAGCCATGGCCAAAAGTTTTGAGAATGATACAAATATTAATTTTAACAAAATCTGCTGACTTTCTTCTGACCGAGTTTTTATGATGCTAATTTGCGTATAGAGTGGTACCTCAGAACTCGAACTTAATCCATTCAGAACTCCGGATCGAATCCTAAAAAGTTCGAGTTCTGATCGAATTTTCCCCATAAAAAATAATGGAAAACCAATTAATTGGTTCCCGACCCCAAAAAATTACACCTAAATATGTTTTTTTTTAGCATTTAAACGCAAAATGAACCGGATAAAATAAGAAGAGCATATACTGTACTAAACACATCTAAGCACATTTATCAGAACAGTAATTTGTAAAGTAAGAAAATAAATGTATCCAAACAATGTCTCCTACCCCGATCGTCCGCTAAGAAAAACATCAGCGACGGACCGATATTCTGCAAAAGATACAGGGATTGGACTGCTGAGGACTGGGGTAAAGTGATTTTCTCTGATGAATGCCCTTTCTGATTGTTTGGGGCATCTGGAGAAAAGATTGTCCAGAGAAGAAAAGGTGAGCGCTACCAACAGTCCTGTGTCATGCCAACAGTAAAGCATCCTGAGACCATTCATATGTGAGGTTGCTGCTCAGCCAAGGGAGTGAGCTCACTCACAGTTTTGCCTAAGAACACAGCCATGAATAAAGAATGGTACCAAAACATCCAACAAGAGCAACTTCTCCCAACCATGGGAATGGTATCAATCTAATTCTTGATCCTTCCTGTGAACCTGAAAAATGATCCCCATTGACAAATAAACTATATTCCCATGCAACAGGATTCAATTTGTTGTTCAAAACTGAGGGATTTTCTTGACAGGAGAGAAGATGTCTGAAGGAGAGGTGGAACAGCTGCTTGTAGGACAGGAAGACAGCAATGGCTGCATCAACTATGAAGGTAGCCACATCCTTCAATACCTGGCAAGTAAAAATGCAAAACATAATCTGAAATCTTTTAATAATTTTTTTTCAGCTTTTGTCAAGCATCTGTAGAATTTCTTGATATCTTTAAAAGAAATCAACAGTGAAATCTTTGTTTTCCTGTGTAGGATCTTCTTTGACACTGAACATCTAGCCGTGAGGCAGTTTGAATCACCCAGACATGAAGATGTTCAGCTAGAAATGAAGGACCATAAGACATGTAGTACTGCCATCGTGTGGCATGACAGGCTTGATCACGGTGTATCCATCCAGTAGCCATCCACTTCTCTGTTGCTTTGGTCAGCTATGCACAATTGTTGTTTTTTTGCCTGAATGAAAGTAATTTCAATGATTATAATAACAATTCTAAAAAGTCCCACATAGATTCACATACTGTTGAATACATAAAAAACTTGTTTACTAACTTAATATTACACTGAAAATTCCTTTTTTAATTTCACCTATCAATAGCCTAATTGCTTTCTTATGCCATATAAAAATTTGAACCCGAAAATGGAATCCAGTAATATACAGCTAAATTGAGACCACTCCAAAGTTTTACACAAATCTGTATTTTTAAATCCTGGTTTAATCATGGTTCTGCTGGCTGAAGGCTACACTGAGCAGCAGGTTGCTTCCAAGTTCAAAATCTCTAAGAATAAGGTGAAGCAGGAGACACTGGGAATGACCAGAAACCAGCCAGGTAAAAGGCTGAAGCAACAGTCTAATGCCAGAGATGACCGTTAACTTATCTGACAGTTATCTGTCATTAATCGAAGGATGACATCAAGTGACCTTCAGCAGGAATGGGAAACATTAAGTGCAGGTGTGAAGTGCACTGTTAGGACAGTTTGTATCAGGCTCGTAGAAGCAGGACTGAAGACCCATAAACCAAGGAAGAAGAACTTCATTAATGAGAAACAGGGAAGAATCAGGCTGCAGTTTGCAAAATAAAAAAAAATATATATATTATTTAAAGATAAATTGAGAAATGAGTGAAACAAAACATATTGCTGTGATGTCTCATTTTTTCGAGAGCTGTATATAGCATCAATTTATTATGCTACCTTTAGAAGTACAATTTCAAAAGAAAATGAACACATGTTGCTTTAAACGGACCCCAATTTGTGCATAAAGTAGAATATCACACAAGTGTAGAGTCAACTTGAAGTGTATGCCCTCCAACAGCAGCACAATAGCCTTGGCCTGTTACAGATGAGGTCTGATGATACTTGTGATTAATAAAGGGAGCCAAAATAAGCCCATCGCTGGTGTACTTGTATGTAGTTCTATGCAAATGAAGGAGAAGATTCTGAGCATGGAAAACCAATTAGCTTTGGTCAGCACCATAGCTGCCCTGCGGTAGCCTGAGAGTAAATGTGTCCTTCCCTTAAAACTACACAGCATCTCTGCCCTGAAATAAATCTGTGGCCCACTGTCAGCCAGACACCTCCAGCTGGTAGTTAATAAGAAATCTCTCAATTTTTTACAAATCAGAATAATCTCATCTTACTTTGTACTCACAAAAAAATTATGCAAAGATGAAAGTTTCCAAAAAATGCCATAAACAATATTTTAGCCAACATGAAAAATATACCTCATTTGGGAATGAGCTATAGACTCGTATAGAGTGAGATTCTACCTTAAAGTAACAGAATGTGTTTTCAAAATCTTTTATTTCAAGCTTTCACCAAAAATACAATATGCAAATTTCAAACATTATTTGTACATTTATTTTAAATTTCCAATACATGAATACATCGACTTTATTGTTATATTTCTTGGAGAGATGACAAACGCACGGAACCCCAGCGTCTTACCTAGACTACTGGACAATGTAGCGTTTCCGTTTGTCTTCCTATACCCAACATCGACGCTGAACATCTCGGCACCTGGGTAACTATGATCAAAAGTAATAAACGGCCAGCATCGCTGAATAACTGGGGCGGAAGAAGTGGGGAAAAAGCGATAGAAAGAAGTTCAATGCATCCAACTTTCTTAAATTGCATGTTAATGGAAGGAAATCGTACCGCCTTCATATGATTTTAACATGCACGCACTCACAATGCGGACTTAATACACCGAATTTAAAGCCAATTTGTCGCTTTAGCGGAGCGTTTAACAAGCTGGGCTGGGCTGAGATCGAACTACTTACTACCGAACATGAACATGTACAGGACAAAGATACTGTGGATGAACAAAGTAGGCGGTGTACCACTTTTTTGTACACAAGTATTCAGGGATGCCTCTCTTTACATTTTATGTCTTAATATAAAATATATATGATACTGACGAAATAATTATGATAACGTTAAATGTGCAATAATGTTCCATGAGAAACATATTTACACTGCATTGTAATCTCGGAAACATGTCACTAGCTGTTATTGTACTATGAACACATGGTAAAGTGATTATGTATCGTATTGCATTTCTTTCCGTCGTTCCGTGCCCTAATGGCAGACGCAAGGCACAGTATCTGTCAGTTTATCGCCGCCACGTCGAGTCCCCGGATGTGACCCATTCGCTCTCCTACCCATTTTCATACAGCTGACCGTAATAAATCTGCTTTCCTTATTGATTGTAACGCCGGAATCAGAAACAGTTCTACTAAACCATCTCTTAAAATCGAATTCAACATATAAATAATGTAACTTAAGTGGAAGAACTTAATACGCTTAGACACCAATTCAACATTGCTGAATAGAAACTATTCTATCTAGCTATAACTATTTTTTTTGTCGTGTTGAAAAATGACGTCGAGATCACTTACAGGTCACTTTAAAATGTGATATATCAATTGTCATCTGGCATGTCAACCGCAGTGAAACGACCGCGTTCATGAAAAATAAAACATTTTAATTCAGAAACAACCACAAAGTTGCTTCTGCGCTGCGCAGTTTTCAATGAAACTGCTAGTAGTATTTTTTTTTTTTACATGAACACATTTTACATGAGATTTCACAAATTACGCTTTGCCATTTTCAAACGTCAGCATTTGTGCGGCTCCCTCTAGCGGACACACGAGTGTCCGCACATTCTAGAAACCTCTCTGATTATTAGGCTGCACATACGCGCCCCCTATCTGGGTTTCTGTGACAATGAAACGTTGAACTCTTTCTGGCACCTGTAAAGGACATTCACGGAGCGGTCACAAGAAATCCGAACGACGGGGAAAAATGCAGAACTTTGAAAGTTCACGTACCATTTACACGAGGCTTTGAAAATGAGGATGAAAGTAGACATTTATTGCTTTGACCTTACTTATTTCAACAGCAATCTTTTTTCTTGTACTGTTGTAAGGCCATTAACTGTACGAATTTTCAACATGTTTAATGTCGTTCGCCGAAAAATCCACATCTTGTCAGTTTCATAGTTGATGCTTCTTGTGTGGCTTTCACACAGCGTTAGTAAGTAGGACAAAGTGGATTCAGAATTACATGGCTTCCAACTATAGGATAGGATAGTCAACTAGGAGGGGACTGAAGATGGAGGGGGAATGGATTTTTGAAAAACCAATCAGCCAATGAAATGATTACCAAATGAATAGACGTCCAAGACGTACGTGAATCGCTGGTGCCCTCTGCTGTAAGCAGTGGAGAAGGACTGGTCAGATCAATAACAGGTGTGGTCAGTGTAGGTTTCTCCCTTTGTTTCAACCTTCTATAACAGAAGGTTACCTCTATCTATCTATTTATCTATCTATATATATATATATATATATATATATATATATATATATATATAAGAAATGAAACCTACAGTAAATTCGCTGTTTGCAAAAAAGGCATATATAAATTTTAATTTTAATATATGACTGAAACAGACTGGAAGCTGACAATGAAAAAAATATGGCCTAGTTATTGTGTTCCCATGGGCTGATTAAATGGAGTTAATTTCGCTTATATTTAACTGAGTTTAATAATAATTTACTGATCGTTATGATGCGGAGAGCAAAAAAAAAAAAAACTGGAACAAACCATATTAGAGACCTACATATTTTAGGACCTTATATGTCCTGGTTCTGTTTAAATTTTTGTATTTTTGTGGCATCTTCAAATGTAGCAGTAATGCATCCCGAAATAAAATTGGCTTCGATTTTTTTTTTTAATCATCGTTTATGCAAAAGTCCGGCATTATCTCTGGGAGAACTTTCCTCCCGTTTAAGCGACACATGTAAGACTCCTTTGCGCTGATCTGCCCCTGTCCTACAGCGCCCCCATCCTCTTATGGCTTCCAAACGAACTGCAGCACTCGGCCGGCTGCTCAGTGAGTGACTGCAGCTGGAGAGACAATAACACTGTCTGCCACACAGGTAGGTAAGGCTAATTTCCGAGCCTTTTGCAAAACCCAAATTGTGATTTGATGCACGGGAGCGCTTTCTAAAACTCGGGGGGGTCCGGTAGAGATGCGTGTCAGATCTGTAGCTTCGATAATGCTGCCGGGATTTAAAGCCGGCAATTCGTGCTTGTCATGTCAGGGTGATATTTTTTCCATTGGGTGGGAGAGGTCTGGGCCTGCAAGGCTTTTCTTCATGACAGATAAGTAAACCAGCGGAGGAATGAAACCTTGCGTTAGCAGAGAGCAGAAGTACGCATCGACTCGCCCCTTTTGTAGGCGCTTATACGGTTGCATGGCAGACTGAGCTTTGTAAAAAATTAATTCCGATATTTTGAATCCATCTTAAGCTTGTGTTTTTTCCTTTTTAAAAAATATTCATTTAAGTCCAGCTAGCCATCTAGCAGGTTAGCTGGCTCCCTGAGGCGATTTTACTAAATATATTGCACATAACGCCCTGGGTCGCAAGTAGGCTACTTCGTTTTTTTTTCACGTCGAACGTGTAAATTTGCAACCGGCCGATGAATTCTTTCAGAAAAATTGTGATTTTTATAAAGATATTATGGCAGACAAGATGAAATATATATTTTTCGTGCTTTTCACGTAAGATGTATCTTCAGATCTTTATCGTTAGTGCATTAGCAGCTTGAACAAACTGCAGACTTGTAGCGAAACGTGGACGAAACTCTAACGTGTGCTGTTTTTAAAACGCACTTCCCGTTATATTCTGGACCTTTCTGTGCACTTCTGCCCCCTTGAATCAAATGAAAGACGTCTTTTGAATAAGCTCCGTTAGCTCGCAGGAAACGCGTCCAAGATGGCCAATCGTCTGGGTCGTTTTCCAATGCGGAGCTGATTTCGTTCGACCTCGGTGTCTAAAACACGAGGAAGGGAGGAAAAGCAGCCGGCTTTCGCTTTCCGCTATGAATGGTGCTGATGCGGAATGGGCTCCGGTTGCTCTTAACTGCACCTGGCCTTGTTTCAGTAGCGCGGTACCGCTTTTTCATTCAGCACCGTTTGATCTGCGGCATATGAGACATTCGGAGCCAGTTTCCATTCCCCCCTCCGTACTGTATTTTTATTAATTTGCTTAGGACTGGTGCCACTATGTGCGGTAACTGCATTGTCATCGCGGCCAGACCGGTACATACCGGTTGCTAATTACTGAAAAATCATTTGCGCCAATCGTCTTAAACAAAGGCCACAGCATGCTTACATGTACTAGAAAGCGTGCCTGTCGCTGCTAATCCGTGTGTGTGCACGCTCGCACGCAGGCAGGGCTAGTCTTTGTGCATCCTTTAATATCCGTTTTAAAATTTTGCTTCCACACTTGATCATCCTCGTAGTGTGCAATCGATACACATTAAAATGGGCATTTTTTTCTGCGTATAGAAATTTAGCAAAATGCCGCATGTTTTTTTTTTTTCCCCTGGCCGATTCGTTTGTAATAGTGTCATACAAATGCTGCTATATCTGGGTGGGTCAGCATGAATCTTCTGGAATAATTTGTCTCCCCTTTCCATGGCTACGGACACACCTCTTTTCCCTCCCTGTGGCATGCAGGAAAGACATGTTACGGATTATGCATGTAGTTCCCTGCATGTGCATGCCGATATAGAAAAGGGGTGTCTTGCTGTTAATTAAAAGACACAGAATATCTGAATGCTTAGTTTTCTGTTTAAAATAAGCAGGAAGATGTAGAATATAAACCATATACAGTACTGTATGCTGTAGGTCTGTAGGTCCTCTCCAGAAACCCCTCCCTTCTCCTCCGCACGCATCTTCCTCTTGCCACGCGACGGATCTGGGGCATTCATTTTCGACATTTTTTGTACGGTAAACCCGAATATTTCGTGGACATTGATTTGAAGCATTTGCTAATTTACAGTTTTCGGCGACTTTGTAATTTGGTCCCCACTGTGCACAGAGGAGGCGATCATGTAGAAGTAGCCAGACAAAGGGGAGCGACATGGCATGCGGATTGCTTGCTAAAACGAAGATCGTATGTATGAATTTTAAAGAGCACAATAGCGTTACACTTCAGCATGCTTTTTTTTAGTCAGTCTATCATCATATTTAAATATTTATTTTCAGATTAGGGCGTTCGTTCGGGCGATCTACGTGAGAACCGGCTAGACTTGCCTTTTTTCCTCAGAAGGACAAGAAAGAATACATATACCGATGGTAGCGCGTTAGTAGGGTGAAAACAGTCAGTGTACTTCATATTTAAGAGACATTTCCAGATAGGGATTATGTGTCAGATCCAAGAAATTGTCCATTTAAATAGCATTTTATATTATCAGATTTCAGATCAATAATCATTTATAAGCAGATTTTTGTCTTGGAATTTTGAAAGCTTTTGGTTTGGCTTAAGTTTTCCAAATTATTATTATTATTATTATTATTATTAGTAAAAAATAATAGTAGTAGTAGTAGTATGTAATAATAGCAGTAATGATGATGATGATGATGATGATGAACAAGGACCTTCTCCCCAGTCCCCCTCCCTTAAGGACCACCGCAGTTGACATCCAAATGCCTGTGTAATTCAATCAGGGTGAATTTGATTTATGCAACTCAATTAAACTTGTCAATTAGAGGACTTCCCCAAACATGCTTTATATCCTTATTGGCTAAGTCACAAATGTCATACTTTGTGGATTTTTGTAATTACTGTGAATCGCTACTTCATTTAACATCATAAAAATGGATACCTGAAAAGTCAAAGGTGTTGTTTGCTGTTGTGTTCTTGCTATTCCTGCTGTAGTCCCCTTGAGTGAGGATCCAGGGAAACACACAGCTGTGCAAATGGCTTTAAAATATGGCTGTAAAGCAGATGCATGTAATGCTGCATAACTGGATTCTGAGAGTGGACCTTTGTGTATGGGAGTGTTACCCACCAGGGCCTGAAAGAGGGGCGTCATGAGTCTGGTGAGAACATACAGCAGCTGCTTCAAGGGCCAGTGCTGCACATCTGTTGTAATGTCTGTCCAGCACCAGACGTCCAGGCTCACTGTAAATGCAGTAAAGTACCAGAAGAATCTTATATTGCCCTTAGGAAATAAAATGTAGTTAAAACGTTGTGGTTGTAAACACATGATAGTTCACATACTTAGATTTTGCATGGATTTTGGGGACAGTGGGTGGTTCAGTGATGTCTTGCAGTGCTGTAACAATGCATGGTTTCTGAATTTCAGTTTATTTACAGTTCCTGTTGCTTATGTTTGTTGTTGAGGGAAGGAGAGAGCTTCAAATACTCTGATTCACTCTGCTGCACACATTAATGTCCGATGCATGGCTGTCTCTGAAAGAAGCAAAGTTTCAGCCGGCTGGAATAGTTTTCCGCTCAGCGGGATCTCGGAAGCTTTAGGCGGGACCCCCATTTTGGCAAAATAATGGAGATGGGGGACTGTTTCCACATCAAACTTGTTCCTAGTCTGAAGAGCACATGAGAGATGAATTTTCAGTCCGTCTCCACTGAATCTTAAGAGATTACCCCACAGAATACACTTTTTGCTACGGTGTGATACCATTTGGTGCATTTGCTTGTATGCAGTACCTTTGACAGTGTTCCATGGGCTGTCAGTGGCCCTCAGAGTGCTGCCACACCTGCCAGGCCGCAAACCGGTGTTTAAGGAGGCAGTCGTCACTGATCCACCCATTCAGAGTGTGGGCTGTCCGTAGAATGAAGCAGTGTGTTGTCATGCTGTAGTTAGACTGGGGAAACCAGGTTGGAGCATCAGTGCAAGTCAAATTTGAAGACCATTTTTGTGGTGAACAGCTTGGCTTACACTTTGTCTTGTAGGCCTCTGTACCATTGCAGTGCTGTTTAACGTTAATTGTGGATTCCCTAATACCAGTTCTGTATTCCATTGTGTTAGCAAAAGAACCACAAGCTTTATTGAAAGGCTTGGAGGTTGCATCATAGTCAGCTGAAGTTGGAATCGATTCATATTGAGTCTCTGCAGTGTAATTGTGGTTTCGATTAGGAGGATGCCTATGTGCTGAATATTTTTTCGTGCCTGAAGTGAAATATTTTAGAGACGTTACTAAACGTCACTGAACTCTGCATATCATTGCATTTTTGGTGACCTTTATCTCAGCATGAATGTTTTTACTCCTGCCTCTAATCTGTTCTTGTTCACTGATTTTCAGAGTGTTGACATCCTGGGGGTTGTTCGGGCTGGATGGGTACTCTGAAAGGGGCCTTAGGTGGAAGCTGTTTTAAAGTGTCCCATTTTGGGGTAATTCTTACAGCTCTTTCTTAATCCCTTATATCTAATGGGAGACAGACTGTCAAGAAACTCAGTGCTTACACATGATATTGAAGTTCAGAATTGATTTTGACATATGAATTAATGGTTTTATGAGTACCTTAAACATTAATAAAACATTCTGTCAGAGCAATGGGAACTCTTCATGGATGTTCTATCACCTATATCAATAGTGTATAAATTATGTATTGTTGAGTCATGTTAAGATGCTTAGATGCCTCTGTTTATTAAAGAGGACTCACTGTAAAGACTCGTGGAAAGCTTTTTGTAGGTAGATGCACCCTCGGCTGTTTCCGCTGGGCATACATAGATCATTGCATAGAGAATTTACATATATTGATAAGAGGGGCTGAAATGCAGCTGAACAGAGGTGAGTCTGTATCATGTGGAGAAGCCAGCTGACTAGGTCTTCTGTTGGCCTACACTCTCCATTCGGCGTTCCACTTGATGGCCTTCACTGACTGCTCCTGTGTTACTGTGTCCATGTATGCCAGCCCTATCAGTGTATTGCTACCTACTCTGAAGTGCTGGTTGTTTTTTTTATTATTATTATTTATTTGTATTATTTTTTTTTAGTCCTCCTAATGGCCGGTTTTCATGAGTGCCGAGTTTATGAAGGGTAGTGAGAATCCGAGCATCCATGGTTAGAGCTCAGTGTTAAACTGTGATTATTCTAGCTAAGTTGGACTTTTTCTCGTAGTGAAATAGGGCCTGTAACCTGAGCCCCGGGGAGGTAAAGGGGCGGTGATCTAACACGAGGGGCCCTTTCCCTGCATCGAGCCCTGCTGCCTCATGCAGTGGAGATGGGGGCAGGAGTTACGTCACACATGCACTGGCTGGCAGCTGTTTCGGGCTCCTTGTAGTTCCTCAGTGCTACGGACCACAACCGGCCCAGGCCCGCTCCTGTGTAGGGCGTCCCTGACCCAATCAAAATAAACCGTGAGTCAGAACCCCACCCGTTTCCATGGCTTCTGAGCAGTACCCAAATAGGCACAGATGAACAGAACAGCTGTGTTTTTATTATTATTATTATTATTATTATTATTATTATTATTATTTTATTTTATTTTTTTTGCGAAATGAGAAATTGTATTGGTTTTGCACCATGTGGGTCGCCTTCGGTGCCCAAACTAAACACAAGCTGCACTCATTCCTGCATCGTGAATTGTCACTAAAACAGCTTCTCTACATTCCGCTGATCACACAAAGCTGTTCTGAAAGTCTGCCTGCTCGCACAGTTTGCAGTTTGCGAGGGGAAAAATGACATCACATGCGATACGTGGATTGCAAGCATTATGTGTGTTGCAGAGCAGCTGGATATGACATTTTAATTTTGGTAAGCAGAGCAGGGAGAATTTTAAAATTAAATTTTATATCAGATTATTTTTTTAATTGGACGGGATGCTGGACGTGTGTTCACATTAACATGGATGTAACATTACTGTGGTTGGCTGCTGGCAGTGTACTGACATGGAGGCAGATGGACTTGCATCCCTCTGTCTGTGCTTCCACATTGCTGTGTTAGATACGTTTCTTTACCATGTTCCTCATTCTCCATGTTCTCCTCCTCACTCACTCCCACCCCCCCCCCCACCATTCTGTGGATTTTCTCTCGAAGGCAGCAGTTTGTTTGCCAAGAGCTCATTCTCCCTACGCGCACCAAGGGCGAGGAATTTCATGCGCTGCCCTTTTCACTTGGCCCCATGCAAACCCTTCCTGCCGTAGAGGTCGGACTCTGCATCTACCTCCCCCCCCCCTACTTGGCGGGTGACCTCATAACCGTGTTCCAGGTCCTGTCCCGTTAACGATTAGTGAGCATAGCCGCCGCTAATGATTAGTGACCAGTAGTGTTAGCATCGCACGCGGTCTGCATTGTGCTGCCGTCCCTTGGTGCCGTTTAAGCTCTTTGAAATGAATGAATGCCTATGAAGAGGTGGAAGTGTGATATTTCTGTCGTCCTTAGCAGTGTGTTTGCGCTACTTGCTGTTGGCGAGGAAGGGGTTTCGATGGGAGAGCCCATCGATCCATCTGTTGGTTTGCTCTTCTTTGTTCCTGATCGCTCCCCCTCGCTTGCTCTCTCTCTCAGCCTCTCCCTGGCAACTGTGATGGTGCAGTGCTGTTGTCCCCACTGGCTCTGCTTGTTAGCTTTGGTTTGTTTCAGCTGCTGCTGTACAAGCGACGCCTGGGATGGTTTTGCTTTTCTAAAAGGGCTCAAAGCCTGGTTTTGTTTGGAAATAACCACGGGGGTTAAAATTTAAAGGCTGCGATGTGCTGCAAAGCACACAGGACGTCTGGCAAGATCATTTTGCATCTTTTGGCTTAGATTGTTATGGCTGGGCTTGTATAGATGGGTTTTAATAACATCAGCCGTCAAAGCTGTTCTGGAATGAAGACCTGGACGGGCTGCAGTCATCTCTGCTCTGCTCGTGCGGCTAAAATTGTCCCAGCCGCACAAACAAAGCCGTTCTCCCTAGGGTTATTTGAGGAAATCGTTGGTGAGTTGGGAACATGGGAGCAGGAACAGCCAATCTGACAATGTGATGGCTGTTTGTCCACCTAGAGATGTGCCAAATTCATAAGCCTTTCAGCACAAAGAATTTATTGCAGGTACCTTCTCAAAATAAGGGTAGTAGAAAAAAACTGCTGTCAAGTATGCTGCTGAAAACAATAACTGCATGCCTGCTCTTTTTTTATTAGATTTTTTTTTTGACACTGTTTGTGCTCTTTGTGTCCAGTGGGGCATGGGCAGTGTTACCGTGAATCCACTGAGTGCAAAGATCCTGCATTTTTGCTCAGCCCCCAGAGCTGGCAGGGAAGATCAGGGTGGGGTTGGTAGGGTCAGCCCGGCCTCGCTGTTCCTGCGGTCTGCAGCATCGCAGCGCTCGGCTCACGGTTGCTATGGGGGCGTGAGCCTGAGCGTGTGAGCATGTGCATCAGGCTGCCATAAGATGGGCCCTTTTTTCCTTCTCCTTTCAGAAACGGGAAATAGCCATGCACTGATTCCTCATGAGGCTCCATCCAAATTCATGTTAATGAATATTCATGCGGAGGTTACTGCTCAGTCTTGCTCCGATTGGTTGTAGCTCTGTGGTTTAGTGGCCAGTAATGGCCGGGCTCTCAGGACGGACAAACTCTAAATATTGACGATCCTCTCTGGTTTCCTTTCTCACTCTTACTTTTAGACAGTATGCAGTAAACCAGACCTGGAATGAGAGAGGGCATTTGGGGGAGCACAGAGCAATTTTCCAGTTTTGCTATGGTGCATTTCACATAATCTTATAATAAGGGTGGGGGGATGCTGGCAACTACAGAAGTAGGAGAACCTAGGAGTCTAATACCCCCCCCCTTACTGTCCACTCTCTCTATTTAAAAAAAAAATAAAAATTATTCCACTAACATTTTTTTTTCTGTGCACTGCTTTTTCCTAACAAGGTTTTGTTTTTAATATAAAATGTACTTAGCACTAACTTGATCTTGATGACAGTTGATTTTAGGTCTAGCTTATAGATCGAAGAACAGTCACGGACTACAAAGCACTGGTGATAAGCCACTCGGAAGAGTCTGCTAGATGCTGTAAATGTAAACTTGTAAACTACAGGAATCTGCTTCTTATACCTATGAATGTGAATTTATCCAAAAAGTAAACCGCACCATTTTATCAGAATTTCATGCAGGCACGTTATGAATCAGTTCTAACAGCAGAAATTCAGCTGAGAGCTGTTGAAGGGTTTCCCCTTTAGCACCGACAGTACGGTTGCATGGCCGTGTCACCTGTGATTACGGGGGAAGCAGGTGAGAGGGGACCCAGGCCTCTGCTAACCTGCTAAACACATCTGGACTAAAATGGCACTGATGTGACGGCTTCAGATGAATAGCTTTGGTTTAATCGGCTTTGTGTGGCTCTCGGACGTTCCACCCCGATGGCTAGACGGCGCTCAGGTTGTTTAAACTGAAGACCTTCAAAACCTCCCCTGTACCTATTCTGGTTGTGCAGCCACTTTTAAAGTGAGGCTTATTTAAATGCTAGCTAATGATTAGCAGCTAACCCCCGGGAGGACTGGGCCGCCTTTCTGAAAAGGTGTGCTTCCTTTGAGGGGATCATCTGAACAGGAGCGCGGAGATTAGTTACCTGCAGCGTCCGGGTATCGCTTCCCTTCCCGCTTGCATCCTGAAGGCGTTTTTAAACGGGCCGGCAGAATCCACACAGCACAGCTTTACCAATACAGTGAGCAGGGTTAAAGATAACGTTATTTTATGGAATCTCATTGACGTATTATTTACCTTAATCCTTACTGGCAGCAGAAGTTTTGCCAAATTTTGTGGTCTTTGAGTTATTGGTTGCCTAAATATGGATTTTGGGCAAGGGGGAAACTAGCTTTGACTTTGGGGTCTCCTGGTGCGTGTGTGAGGCTGTTTGCTGGACGTTTCTGTGGATTTTTCTGCAACACAACTGAAGGTGAAACGGACACGAAACCGACATAACACCACTGTGTCTGACAGGGCCGAGCAGTAGGTCACTGGCGGAAACCTGAAACGGTTACGCGCCTTGTTTAAAAAATAAAAGCATGCTTAGCTCCCCCTCCCGACCCATTACAGCGACAGGAAGCACCATGCAGGAAGGGGGGGGGGGGGGGGGCAGTGTTTCGGCGCCAAAATGCGCGCACGCTCCGGAGTACTTTAAACAAACACACAGCGGCACGCAGTGTGAATTGCGTCGAGCTTGACTCCGTAAGTCACTTTTTATGGAGTAAAATAAAAGGGGGAGAAAAAAAAAAACAGGACACAGCTGTTGCAGTAGAAGGAAGTAGTTCTTCTGGAACGGCTCTGTTTGGCAGGCAGCCTCAGGAAACCCGCGATCATTAATTGGATTGTACCGTTACAAACCGCTAAAACCAGCACCTGGGTGATGGTTGGTCAGGAACCACCGAGGTTTTTGCTCTGGTTTGTTCAGAAAAGGCTTGTTTTAAAAGAACTTCCTGGAATGAGTATTACAAATGCCTTCTTGACTTCAGTTATACAATGAAAGAGAACGGAAGTGATCATTTATTAACCAGAAGCTCTTTTTTTTATTACTATTTTTAGTTAAGACTGTTGGCTTTGGATCACATATAATATGTTCACCTTGGCTTCTTTTGGCTCGTCTCACCAGAGCTCCTGCAGTTGATCAAGAAATGTGTAAAGCACAGAGCTGTACATAAATGTGTGCCGTGATTGTTTACGAAATCATTGTTGATTGTTGGCTGCCTTAGTTCCACACTGCATTTTCATGCACACATTTCATTGGCTCCTTACAGCCTGAACTCGTCTCACGATGGATCAGCAGCAGGACTTCATGAACTCCGACCCCAGCAACGCAGCCCTGCACTACAACTCTGGGGTTACCATGGCCGCTGCCGTGGCTGACATGACCATTAAAGATGCCCACCAGGGGGGCAAGGACGTCAAGGAGAATGGGGTTTCTGCAGTGAAAGGTCAGTGATCGCCACAGATACTTTGGCATCCATGGAATAAATATACAACACACACATCTAAGGTGCATAAATCCACAACTGGTTAATTCCATAGTACTGAAGCTAACCATCATAGGTGCTGTGAAACTAATGATGGAACAATGATGAGCGCCAGGCTGTGGGTGTGGTTATTCGGATCATAGGACTGTGATTTGCCCATGGTGATGTCTCTTGTTCCCAGCGTTTCCATGAACTCATTATCCTCATCTATTAACTTTCAGTTTCCTCTCAGCATGAAGTAGAATAAATCATCAACAATCCACTTAAACGGCCGGATCTGTCTTGATCTTTGCATTTTAATAAGTGGGAAATAAAACAACATTGTCTCATGTTGTGGCCATTTCTCACTTCCTGTGTTATGTGTTTTGTGTTAATGTATCAGACATATGTGGGCCTCTGGTCATGTGATCGTATTAGTGATGTTATCGTGTATCTGCCATAATTGACTATGACTCTTCACACAGTATCCAAGGACTGTCCGGTGCCCCTGGTTTTCACTGTTCTCTTATAAAACACGCCTGCCTTCCTCCAGCTCGCCATTGCAGCTGCACTTTCTGTAATCCCGGCATCTGGGTCAGTCCCTTCTCTCCCTCCCCTCTGCTGACATCCAGTGTCACCAGACAGTGCCGTCTCACCCGGCTAACAATTGGCCTTTCACATGGCGCCTTACTGGCAGCCAAGCCTTTCACGCACATGCGTGTTTCTAAGGACAAGGGGATGTTATTCCTTGAATGTCCGGGAAACGACGGTAGTGGGAAGAGGCCTGTGTTAACTTGGCATGTTTAGTGAGATCAGCCCTCAGCTTCCATCGGAGATGGTCGTGTTAAATCAAACCCTTGTGAATATTGAGTAACATAATTCACGTGTTTTTTTTTTTTTTGTGTCTCGTATTTTGACAGCAAAGGGTGTAACCAACCTGCGTTAATTGGGGCATTAGTGGTTCCTGAGGAGTTTTCTTTATGACTTCTCAAACAGACGATCATGTGCTGACCTCAAAGCACCAGCATGGCAGGTTAGGGCAGCCTTGTGTTTGTACGTTACCTGCAAACGCCCCTAAGGGGTTGCAATTCAGCTCTTCTTGTTGACTGAACCGATGCTTTCTCCTGCGATCCAACTTGACCGCCATACACCTTTAAGAGTGCCAACTGTCCCTTTGGCACAACCCTAGCTACGAATTGCTGAAGCGGGGCGTCTGAGAGTTATTAGTGGTGCTGCCTCGTCATCGTCGCTAAATATGAACTCATTTGTCATGCCGGTCTCTCTGTGCTGCAGGTTTATCAGGTGACAGTGTGTTATTTTCAGAGAAAACGTACCAGATCGAATCATCTGATTGTGGCGTTATGCAGATTTGTTTCAGTTTTTTGGTTAGTCTCACTTTTATAGATCTGTGTTCTTTTTAGCTTTTTCTGCTGTTCAACTTCCCACCCTGATACGTGAAAGCAGAATGCTTTTATTTCAAATATTTTTTTCCATTAAATTTGAAATATACTTTATACAGTTGTGCTGAAAACCCCTGTACATTTTTATATGGATTACTGAAAGAACGGCTCCTGAAACATAATCTGATCTTTTTGTAGGTTGTAATAATGAAGACAGTCTTAAAATTTACACACACATTGACAAAACTTTAAACAAACAATGTTATTTATTAGAAAAGTATGTGAACCCATTTATTTAGTTGCTAGTAGAACCTCCATTATTGGCAATGACCTCAACCACTTTCTGCAGCTGATGATCAGAGCTACACAGTGGATAGGAGTAGTGGGGTACCAATAGGGAAATCTGTAGCCAATTATTTAAAAAACCAATGCCAATTGTTTGGGGGGGGAGGGTTCCACTTAAGTTTAAAGGGACACTCCACACAAACAAACAGATAAATAATTCCAAAAATATGAAAAATCAGAGTATTAGGAAAATACTCCCTCAGGGATACAACAACAAATTATCCCAAAGTTTATAACACTATACATCTTGTATATTTATAACATTAACTGCTTTCAGTTACTGTTACATATTTCAAATAACTATTTTTTTAATACTTAAATTAAAAACAAAATTGAAAAAAATGTGCCATGGCATTGTTGTGCTGTTGATGCAGAAACTGCTACCAGTACTTTCATTAATCGCTGAAAGCCAGTGTCCTACAGAGAGCCTGATCTTTCACTGTGATGAACTCCGTAATTTTCAGGGTAATATCTTTTGATTTTGTGCTGTCTGTGCTGAATTTACTTTTGGTATCAAACGCTTGCATTAGCCTATTTAGCAGTACTGCAGGCTTCCTGACTGGAATGGATTTGCTTCTCAGAAACTCCTCATACAGTTGACTACGTCTCACCTTGAGGTGAGCAACCAGATTTGTTGTATCGAAAGTTTTCACAGAGCAGTGTTTGCTAAATGCATTTCTAATGTTCTCGCAAACATTAAAGTAATTCCACACAGCAGACATAACTCTTCAATAATTACGTATTATGCTCAAACATCATGGACCACCGTTTCAACGGACTAACAGGCAGTAAATATCAGCCTATTTTTAAACATCGGTTGATGGATGATTTATTGCTGTGTCAGCCAATACTGATAGTTGGCTGATAAGATCTGCATCTCTAGTTAGGAGGGATTCTGTTTATACAGAACTGCTCCAGTTCATGTATATTTTTTGGGATGGCTTACTTTTACTGCTTGAGATCACACCACAGCGTTTAAATGGGATTGAGGACAGGACTCTGACTTGGCCATTGTAAAATGCAGAGTTTCTTCTCTTTCAGCTGCTTTGTGTTTTTGATCACTGTCATGTTGTATAATACAATTTCTTCTGAGATTTAAATCGCAGACTGGCAGCCTGTCATCCTGCTATAGAGTTTTATGATGCAACTTGGAATTGATTGGTGCCGACATGATTTATACTCCTCCTGCGCTTCTCAGTTGGGATGAGGGTTTTCATGTTGGTAATGTAGCATTTTCTGAAAATGTGTTGCTGTGTATTTACCAAAAAGGTCAACTTTCACCACAAACATCGCTCTGGTGGTGATGTGGTATGTATTTGTGTATATATATAAAATATATATTATAATTTTTTTTTTTTTTTTCTCCCTCCATAAAAGTGGTGATTTTCTCTGTGTTGACCTCCCACACTCACCAGTTTTGTTCAGTGTCTTTCAGCGGTACATTCATAAACAAAGATGCTATCAAGTCCATTAGATGCCTGCAGGTCCTTTTCTGTCATCCTCTCATTTTTTGTGGTTTGTTTGAGGAATCTGCTGCATGCCATTGCAATCTTGGTAGGCTGCTCACTCCTAATGAGAGTAGCAATAGTCCCGTCTTTCTTCCGTATTTCTTTCTTCATGACTGTGGACTGACGGAAGCCTGAGTCTTTGGAAATGGTTTTGTGACCCGATACGATGTGAGCTTCAACAGCCCTTTTGCAGATGACCTCTGAAATATCTTTTGACCATATTGCACTTAATGTTGAACTTATATTCCATGTAATGTATGATGCTTTGTGAACTCTGCATCACAGGACTAATGATACCCTGGCAGTTTCTGAATCAAGACTAATATTTGAGTAAACTGTACCTTCTTTGGCATTTTGCTGTGCCGATTTGAGCATTTCATAGTGGTTATGGCCTTAGCTCTGTGGTCGTCCACATTCATCTCCTGGTGGATGTGGGTGCTACTATATGTTATGACAACACGCTGGCTGTGTTCACAAGCTTTCGCACATACTGGTGCGTTACAAGAGGTGTAAGGTGCAAGTGTCCTGGTGATAAAGTTGTAGCACATAATCTACCGTTCCCTACTCTGCAGTCTCAGCTCGTGAGTTCCATAGTTCGTAGATAAGGCTGACAGCCTAAATTGATAACTCCGAATTCTTGCTAAATAATTGAGTGAAGCTGCAACAAAAGTTCAATGAAAAGCAGAGGTTTATCTGCTGGATGTTCTATTTACAATCACCATCTTTGTGCAAAACTTAACAAGTAATAAGGAGACCTGTTAGGTGGTCTTTTATAGAAAACTTTGAATGTAATCTGTGGAATAAAATTAACTATGGACTGGGTCAGTGCGCTGGTATTCAGTTCAGATGTGGTGTAGATCCGTGTGGTTGTTCTGTAGCTTTTTTAAAAAAAATAATAATATATATATTTTGACATGGAGCTTAAACGGTTAACTATAAGCAGTTGTGTAACTTTGGTGACCAAGGGTCTACACACCAGATGGTACTCAAAGACTAAGTGAAATAAAGTGTTTGTGTGGGATGATTTCACAGTTCCTTAAAATATATTTATTTTATCCATCATAATAATTAACTCACTTTGGAGGCCTTAAAACCTCTTTTGGGGTGTAGACCATACAGTGCACATGTGGAACCTACCTTTGGATTAGTTTCATGAACCATTTATGCTTACAGGTCTCTACAGGACATCTGTTGAAATTCTCCTCTCTCTAACACTACAAACATCCTTCTTCCATAGTAGAGTCTCAGGAGCCCTCAGAAGAGGAGGCAGCAGAAGAAGCGGTGTCTCAGCTTGCTGAGCCCGAGAGTGCCCCCTCTGGTGAGGAGGTGCAACTGGGTACGCCCCTTATCACGCAACAGCCTTTAGTACCTGCTGGCGTGCTTAAAAGCTTTCCTCTTTCTGCCTACGCTGCTCTTGTTTAATTTATTACAGTGTTTTGTTTAGAGGTCGACCGATACAGGTTTTTAAGTGGCTGATACCGATTATTATTTTTTTTGGGACGATGCAATGACTGTTTTTTTTTTTTTTTTTAAACTAATTTTATTTACTTTTTTAAAGTAGAAAAATAACAAATGAGTAACGCACGTCTTAACTTTAGTTACTAATAACATACAAAAATAATTTGACTAAATATTAATCACGATTTAAACAAGGGGCATGCAGCATTTTAAAAGTGATTCTTAAGACTCTTTGGCATTTCTGGATTCAATTTCTCAGAAAAGTTAAAAAATCATCAATTGAAACTGATGTAAGTAGTAGGAGTTTGGAACCCTTACCTTTGGTTGTCACGCAGATTCACTACTGTAGGTGCTGATAAACCACACCACAATACTGACTACAAATGAGTCAATCACACGTAGCCAAGTGCAGCCATCACTATATCTGCCATGTAATTTGATTAATCGGCTGAAGATGGCTGCAATAATATGCTTAAAAATCTGCTTTTTTTTTGGCAATCGATCAGTCGACCTCTAATTGTGTTAACTGCATTATATTTGCAATCATAAATCTGTAATGCTTATTTTGCAGCTTAAATGCTTTGATCCTCCAAACACAGATTTAATCTTTGTTTAATCTTGTTGTTCAACTTCAGTTATATGAAACCAAGTTTTCTGGGGATTACAGCATATATATATATATTATCCAGCTTAGTGTTGCTTGGCCAGGAAAATATGATTGGCTGTCTCACAGGTGCTGTTTATTCCATAAGTGTTGGCATACAGTGAGAAAATGTGAAATGACTTAATACAAATGTACATGCCTAATGCATATCGTCATGCCTAGCCAGTATTTCATTTTCTCCTCCTGGTTCTCAGCCTCTGTATTTATTTTGCCCGTGCTGTGATTGGTGCCCCCGCTTTCAGCACTGCCATAAAAGATATTGGAATAGTAAGAATGAAGCTTGAGGCCCCAGATAATGATGATTCAGAGGAACGAGGAAAGTGGCGTCTTTGAGAGCCTCGCTCTCCCCGTAATTTAGCCGTGAATAATCACATTGGTTTTTCCCCGCAAGCTTTGCATGCCTGTATGTGGGAAGGCATTCAGGTTAAACTGAGGCTCTGCAGTGCATGAATGACTTTGTACCAAACCACTGAAACCCTGGAACAAGTAGATTACTCAGTGGCAAAGACAAACACACATTTAAGGATAATGACACAATGACTGTTATTCATGTAGCCAATACATTTTATAAGTTCATGTCTTGTTTTTAAAATCAAATCATATTAGTTGTGAGCTTTCTTTATTATAATTGTTGTGTTTGGGGGGGGGGTATGTTAATTTGCTGTTCTGCCAGTTTGGGCATCTTCTTTGCTAGAGCATAACTATTTTTTGGCTGTTAGGTAGAACGCTTTCTGTGGTGCTGGGTGTCATAGGAAGTACTGGGGTAGCGGTTAAATCCTAGCATGGCTTTCACTCTGCTTGTGTGAAGCCTCAGACAATTTTATATATCTTATATATATTATAACCCTATACAACGATACAACCCTAAATTCAACCAGTACCACACCTTCCTTAATGGTATTCTTCGTAGGGACACCTGAAGGGTGTGCGTGTGTGTATATGTGTGCCTTACGCTTTTTTAAAAAAAAAAAATTTAAATGATGTTTAGAGGATCAGATGCTTGTGTGACATCAGCGCCTTCTGCAGCAAATCTACCGCAGCTGCCTTGCATACCAGGATTTGCACATTTCCACAAAGCAATTGCATTCTGTTAAGAGACCTTGGGATAGTTAATGTTTCCGCTTGAGTGAGAACACTTAAGAGACACGGTGATCCTTTCATTACTCCTGTAATTACTATTATTAGTCGATAAGCCTCTGTACTTACCCGTGCAAACGGCCCTTCACCAAAAGAGCTTTTCCTGTTTGTCGAAAAACACACTGTGGTTTCCCCTTCAGTTATATCACCTCCTATTCATTCCTGTGCTTTGAAATGAAAGGCTCTGAGACATTGGCATGGAGGAGTTTATGCAACTTTTCTGTTACGCTGCGTATTTTGACCATTTGGGGAAGTCATGTAATGACGATCCAGGAGCTCAAATTCTCCCACAGAGCACTTCCTGCCAGTCACTGGGGGTACCAGGCTTCGGGCTGTAGCTAAAAATGCTGCTGTTTACATGCATGTCTGCAAAGCTGCATGCCCTGCATTGTGCAGATAGGTGGGGCAGGTTCTGAATCCAGAGTGCTGATCCCATGGTCTCTCCCCCCCCCTAACCCCCACCTCAAACAGGGGAGGAAGGAGCCGGAAATGCAGCCATCGCTGCCCCTGCTGTAGTGGCTGATCAAGGTATGGCGTGATTAGCGCACCCACATGTGCTTGGTCTGCACGTTTGGAGTGCAGTTAGTCATCACGGTTTTGCAAGTCACGGTTCAGTCTGCAGAAACACTGAGAGCAATGAGACTGCACTTATGAGGACATATTGACCCATCTTGCAGAAGACGGGGAATGTGTTAAACATCTGAGCCAGCCAAATTTGATTTTTCAGATTGACACATAATTAACAAGGGGCAATGCACTGGGCATTGTGGTTAATAGCAAATCAAAGTGACATTGCAGAGAATTCAAGGCTGGTCAGGAAGTGTTATTGACTGCAACCACTATATATAATAAGAGGTTTAAATGTGCTTTTGTTCTGGCCTTTTATTTATATTTTTATTTTGTGCACTTTGTTCTGAGCTGCAGGCTGCATTTACAAATGCAAACCCTTATTTTTGTTGTGGAAGCAATTATGCTGGTTTCTACAAAACACACGGTTTACAAGGAGCGCATCAAACCGGCTGGCTAAGCTTCCTGTAAATGGAGCCTTCAGCTCAGATTTTTTGCAAACTTGTAAAAGACATTTCTCTTGCTCTGAAATTTTACCGACACCTTCCACAAAGGGCTTGTGATGGGGTCCTTGCTTTTGCCCCAGTTGCATTTAAAATGAGGAGTGGGACAGGTGATGCTTAACCCACTGTTATCCTATGGATGTCACTATTATTCTGCTTCCCAAACATTAGAGGAGTTCCCAGGAATGAGCCTGAACCTCGCAGGAACCGCGCCGATTGGCAGCTGCACTTCCGTCAAGGATGGGAGTGACTCTGAGCAAGCCCGTGCCTCCCTTACAAGCCCTGGGGACCTGAAACATGTGGGAATGAATGGGTCTGTGCCATTTTCTCCAAGGGAATTCTCCTCAGATGCGTATAGGAGGCAGTCAGAAGACTCGGATAGAATTTCCCAGAGCCCTGGCCAGGTGCAAAGTGAGTTGGGGGTGTCGCTGATCCGCAGCGTTGTGGTAGCAGATCTCTCATCCTTGGGAGTGGGCTGCATGGACGACAAAGATGGACACCCTGCAGCTAACCTCTCTCCGTTCCTTGAAGGCAAGAATCGCGTACTGTCTTTCGATTACACCGAACCTCAGCGCCCAACCGGCCAGGATGGGCTCAGTGGAGAACTGAGCGGCCCTGATGAGTCGCCATCCGGAAGCAGAAGCCCGGAGCCACGCCTTGCTGACCCTTGGTCTCCCACCTCCCCTACTGTGGTACCAAAGGGGGCAAGTCAAGCATCTCTGAGTCCTGAGCGACAACCTGACAGTCCTGTGGCAAGCGAGGCCCAGAAAGACCCTGGAGACACAGAGAGCTTTTCGGAACTAGCAAATGTGGCTCCTTCAAAGGCAGATGAATACCTGGAGACGTCGGACGAAGATCTCAAGGCAGCTGTGAAAGCCACAGATGTGTCTGCAGGCGGCGACAATGTCTTGTCATACCAGGAACAGGGATCTATATTCCCCCCTGAGAAGACCCAACAGAAACCTCTGTCCAAGATTGCTGCCCCTCCTGTTTCTAACACCAAATCTCAGAAACCCCCCCAAAAAGATGCTTCCATAGACAGAAAATCAAATGTTCCAGTCCCTCAAACCAAAGGTCTGTTTTCAGCTCTGTTCACCAGTTCTCTCCCAGCCCCCTCTCCTGTTTTCTTTTTTTTCCCCCTCCCCCAAAGCAACCTTCAGAGTTACGCGTGACCGTACTTTCCCATGCGCGTGCACTGCAGATAAACGTCATCGTTTGAGGAAACAAGCTGCTTGCGGTCACCATTACCTTTCCTTTTTTTGAGTATTTTTGTCTGTCTCTTTCTGTGTTGTCTGTTTCCATGTTTTGTCATGTGTGTGATTTACTTGTTTGTCCGTGTTGGCAGTGGTGTTTGCATGCCGCACCGCATGTCTGGGCGTCCCCAGTCCCCCGTTCCTCCTACTGAAAACCACACCCTGGCTGCACGACCTCTTTCTAACACACCGTTTCTTTATGCCCCCACCCCCCACAGCCAGTGGGGACTGTGGTCGAGTTCTTAATTTGAGGGAAAAGTTCCACCTTTCCTTTTTTACAGAAGTCATCAAGCAAAAAAAAAATAATTAAATTAATCCTATCTCTGAAATTAATCACACTAAAGCCACTGTCTTTTCATCAGTAGTATATTCCCCTATGTGCCCAGCATAGTGGTATATGATTGCCTCAGCCTTAGTTTTTTTAATATCTGTGATTGTAGATAGCTACAATATTATTTGACTTGAAGCAACCTGTGACATTTTTTTCCTTATTCGAAGTATGCAGAGTAAATGTGCCAAACGCACACAGGGGTCTGTATTAGACTCTTTTTAATAGCCCTGTCTTTGGATTATGGTGTGTGTCCCCACCTCCCCCAACATCCCTGGTGTATAAATTATTCATATGGTAAATGGATTAAATGTTACTCTTCCGGTAGCCTATAGCCATGTCTCTACTTCCCACGCCTTACTGCATTGAAGGGAAGGACGAACATTGCAGTGAACCTCCACTGTTTCCTTCAAAGTGATCTACGTTATAAACTGATTCCAAACAAAATATTAGATGTTGCTGGTGAGCTTCTTTAAATGCTCAGGTCTTTTGGATTTAAGTCTCCTCCTTCCCTCAAAGTAAGCCCTCTGTGTGTAGGTTTTTGATTATTTGTGTGATCAATGTAAATGCAGAAACAATACAAACTAGGGCTTATTTGCTTTATTCTTTCTTGCAGTACAGTAAAAATGTACAGCTATTTAATCCAGAATTGTGTTGTATTGGGAAAGAGACTCCAGTTTTATTTAAAAGATCTCCAATGGATACAATACAGTGAAAGAGAATTACAGAACTGGAGTCTGATCTGTGGATCTGTGAATTTCTTATAAGAAGTTGTCGTCTTCCTGAGGGAGCCCTTGGTAACAGACACCAATGTAAACCCTGAATGTTTACTTTAAATAGGGGCACCGGAACTAGAGTCCAAAGTACTAGTATGTGTGTTTTGTTTTATTTTTACAGCTAAAACCAAGGCTGATGCTGAGAAAAATGCTGCCGGCAGTGAAAAGAAGGTAGGTGCCTGACCTAGGAATGGCAGTCATGGTGAACTGCAACTCTGCAGCAGTGCTATTCTGATGGTGTGAACAGTCGTGATAGTGTTTTAAGGAATGTTGACCGTTTAAAGTGGTAAGTTGTCAGTGCTGGCATCAGACGGAGGGGGCCGGCTTAGGTGGGTGTGTCCTCAGCTTGAATCGTGTTGAGTTTGGAGAGCTAATTGGCGGGTTATGAAGTACGATGCAGCCTCAGACCAAGACATTTTAGTGGTATCTTGCACCAATTGTGTGCTATTAAGCCTTTACCCTACACACAAACACACTTTTTTGAGATTGTTTCCCTTTTTATGTTTGCGTATGTTTGCATGTTCATGTGTTTCAGTTATAGTATGAGGTTTTCTTTGTTTATTTGGCATCATTTTGTAATTTATTATTTTAAAGCTAATACTATTATCTTTTGAGTATTGATTTATTTGTAATTTGTGTGGCTTCATTTTCACATTCATGGTCTTTCTTTTGTAATTTGCTTTTGAATTTTTGGTGTTTATGTTGATTCCTTCCCTGTTTTATGTAAAGACCCCCACAACCACACCTGCCAAATCTAGACCCACTTCCACCCCAAAAAGACCCTCCTCAGTCACTGCGAGCCCCTCGAAAAAACCCCTGGCCTCCTCCACTAGCAGGCCCGTCGCTAAAGCCAGCAGTGCAGGAGCCGGTGGGACCAGGCCACAGGTGAGTATGTTGTAGGCCTGACCTGGAGAGGCATCCCCACTGCATACCCACACGATATGACCCCCCCCCCTCCCTCCTTTATGCTGTCCTTCCCAATTTTTCACGTTTGCCTTTTAAGTTAAGACACAGGCCTAATCCACATTTTGGCCATATTGGTAAGACCTTCAAGACTTAGAGCTTTTACTATTTGGGAAAAATACTAGCAGTGTCTGAGAATAATCCAGTGCAAAGTGTAACGTTTGTAATATCCGGTTAGGTTGAGTTTGCATACAGAAAACCTAAAAAATTTGCATTGCTGTAACGAAACTAGATGAATCCAATACTTACTGTGGTAGCATAAGACATCTATAAATTAAAGTAGAAATGGCAACCCAAAAGCCAAGACTAAGAAATGTGTTGAAATTAAGCTGCATTTAGCCAGAGTTGAAATGAATAAGATTTGAGTAACATTATGTGGCAATTAACCAAACTGCAATAAAATATACTTTTCTGCAAATTTGCACTGTGTATTATTTAGTATTGTTTTTCATTATCTATATTACCCAGAACACCCAAGGATTCATCTTCAGATGTCCCTTACCCTTAACCCAATTTCCCTTCCTCCAAAAAAAAAAATGGCCGACAAGAATTGCATCTAAAAACCTGAGAATAGGATCCACATACTGAGACAGTCTGTGAAGCCTTCTTTTTTTGTAAATGACAGTCTACAAATTCCTCCTCTCCTGGGATGAAATTAAACATGACTTTGTCTGTGGGGTCCTTCAGATGCTTGTCAAATGCGTGCAGATTGAGGGATGCTTGGCCGTGTCGATGCTGAGGGCAGCTTAAAGCAGCCCTGGCTGAAACGGAAGCAGCAGAGGTGCTACGACTACCTAACATGTAGATTAATGGCCCTTGTTTGTTCGGTAATGGTATTTTCCCTGCACAGGTGGCTGATGGGAAAGCTGGAGCCAAACCTCAAGCTGCAGGGACCAAAATTCCTGGCAAGACCCCGACTCAGACTGGTACATGTTCCCATTTTCCTGCAACTCGGTTACTAGAATGTGTCATGGCCAGACATACTGAATATAGTTTGATGTAAAATGCTTTTGTGTAATGCAGCTTCTTCCAAGAAGGAAGAGAGAAAAATCTGGAGCAACAAAAGATAATGGTAACATTACAGTGTAGGAATGGGTGTGTAAGATCCTCTTAGGATGTGTATTGGATCTGACAGTGAGCCTTGATATCTAGGTTTAAATGCCAAATGTAACAGAAGGCCTGTGGTTTTGATGAGGGTGTTAGGTTAGGTTCAGTAGTAGGCGGAAACTGGGCTTATAGATTTCCTGTAAGTAGACTAAGGTTGTCACGGGTACTTGATTTAAACTCGATTACTTGATTTTTGTCTCGGTTAGCTTCGATTTTAAAATTTGCCTTCTGGATTACTTGGCAATATGACGGAAGGAAGACTGCACATAGCGAATAAGGGTCCAAATAAAGAGCGAAAGTTGCCTCAGTTGTGAGATAGCACTTCACATTAAAAATGAATGAAAGTGCAGTCATCTGTCAATATTGCAAATCAGAACTTAAATAGGTTTTATTTTTTTCTTAATTTACTTTCTACGATTCCTGTATGTCAAAATAATCGTTGCTAAAACCAAGGTTAGCCCTGTCACGAAGGCCCATCATCTTTTATATTTATATATATATATAAATATAAAAAATAATAATTAATATATATATATATTAATTATACACACACACACACACACTCACCTAAAGCATTATTAGGAACACCTGTTCAATTTCTCATTAATGCAATTATCTAATCAACCAATCACATGGCAGTTGCTTCAAT